CACGAACGTTCTGTATATTGCTGCCATGTATAGTTGTGCATATGTTGTCAGATGATGTTGGCAAGAGCAATGGAACGTTGGAGAGTAATATACAACAGTGATCAAAATGCATCCTTTTGTACTCGACTGCTTGCCAACAGGTATAATTGCCGATAGCACCGTAACCCAGCACTATATGGCATAAGATGACAATGAAGTGCATGCCCGTTAGAGCAACCAGGTTCTGGTTTCCAGTTGCATATAATCTCCATCTGGCCTCTCTCATCGCCGCAATTTCTCATACCGTACACACACCACCGAAATTCTTATTTATACAATGTCGCTTGAATGCATTCAAACTACTGTCGGGATAAATGAGGCCGCTAGGAATGTAGGCACGTCAGCTCTACACTGTGTGGTAGTTCAATCCGATAAGCAATCTTCTTTGCATCTGGAGACTTTCCGGGGTTCCAGATTCAAGGTCGATCTAAGGCACCCGGCCCTCGACCTTTCCTCAACCACGAAATAACGAGGGATTTCGACAATGAGAACAGCGGAATCTTTGGGAGAATTCAAACTAGTGCAGTGGGAGGCGGAGGACGGGGATGAGGTCCAATATTTCGGGTCTCCTCGAGACCACGTCCCCTGAAGAAAACCCACAGTGCCTGATGCGCGCGCAGAGCCCATACCCAACCATTATCATACTCTCCACCATACCTTAGGAATGCTCCAAGACTGGAGCTATATGTGTGGCCCGGTGGCGGCTTTTGTCGCACCGCAACATTTGTAATACACCTGTCTTAGCTGGGCTTCCGCGTTGCCTGGGAAGGAGGGAGGAATATGTTGGGTTTCATGATGGACTCAGATTGAAGTGCAGGTGGCTACTCAAATGCTGAACGAGAGGTTGTGAGAGCGAGCTAGAAAGCGTGCTTTATCCTGGCCTGGAAACGTGCTGGCCTTCAGTGGATTCATGTATAGGCGGGACTACCGGACTGTTTGAAAAAAAAATATTAAACTGTTTCACATTCTTATTTCACGCTTAGCAAAAACATTGCAACCAAATAGGGTCAAATCCCAAGCGTAACAAGATTAACATTTTTTGATGAGTCGAACGCGCCCAATTTGGTGGCTTAAGATTACGGATTTTTGCTCCTCGAACATTGACATCACATGTGTTTCCACCAGCTTGTCACAACCCAATTACTGCAGGTCCTAGTCGTCTCTGTTAGCCTTACATAAAAATTCAATATGTCTTTCCGTTGATAAAGCGCCCCAAGAGTGACACTTTTATTTTTGTTGAACTCATGAGCTTTTCGGTTTTTGAACAACAGCCTGATGATGTTCCTGTGTCTCATGCATTCAAAGGCGCAAAAATCATTACCTAAACACATTGTCTGCATCACATGCATTTTTAACGAAGGACTCTTATTTTGGATCGACTGATGAACATTTCGTACCAATCGGTATAGTGTTTGTGGAGGATACAGTTGTGTGCAACTGTGGACTTTGACTTTGCACTCTCTCATGCAATATTTTCTCATAGCTGAGTTGGTAGTCAGAATGCATGAAATCCGTGTCAGGATCCAGATCCAGATCATGCCCACTGCTGTTTTTGTGCTATCTTCTGTCTTCTTGACTCCCTGAGATCTCCGAAACTAAGAGAGCTATTGACATCAAATTGACGAGTTGTGTTGGCCGGTACGTGAGCTCACTTGTGTCAAAGTTTGAGGTTCCTAGATCATGACCTTTGGGCCAAATGAGATCAAGCAATGTCAAACTACAGACTGGTGTTCACAGGTGCCCCCAGACCTTCTCATGTAACAATCATGCATCTAGATACCTGTTTTAAGCGGACGGTCACTGGTGCTCATTTCAGGTCAGTGGCTTTCTTTGACCTTTGGAGGTCATGGTAATCAAAATCATACAAGCCTGCGTTGATCTTTGTATTTGAATAAGCGTCAAGGATTAGATCAGGCAGTATGTTCCTAAAAGGTAAATGTTGAGCCAGGGTCATTTTAAGTCAGAAATATATTCTGACCTGTGAGAGATTTATGGAAGGTGTATAGTGCAGTCCCTGTTATCAATGAGGTAAAAATGAGCACCAGAAGCCAGCCCATGAAGAGACTCTAGAGTAAAAACAAAAAACAGGATGGTTTTGACCTTGATCTGACCCTAGTTTAATATAATTTCTTGATTCAATTTTTGCGTTGCTTAATTTTTTTAGAGATGCATGACTTCGTCTAACACTCCATCGTTGCATCAGATTGAATGATTCCCTACAAACTGTCTTCGCTACATCCATGTCCTGATTTTGACCTGCCGTAGGTCAGCAGCCTTACAAGGTAAATCAAATTTTTAAACGAAACGATCAGCTTTTTGACTGACTAGAGATGCGCAAAATTTGAGGCGGGTGCGCCGCGTTGTTGAGAGATCATCCCGAAAAACCTTGGGGGGTCAAATAAGTTAAGGTACCACGCCCAGGTGAAATAGGTTTCATACCTCCGCCCACCCGAGCGCGTGTTAGCACGCGCTCGGGTGGGTGGAGGCTCCCCTCCGAAGGTTTTTTTCGGAGTGATTTTCGAAACACGGGTAGCCGCGCCTAATTTTGCACGGCTGTCGACAGTTGAATAGCAGATTGTTCCGTATAAAAAGTTAGATGTAGCTTGTGAGGTCGCTGAGCAGCGGCAAATCAAAGTCAGGCCATCATTTTAGCAAAGACAATTTCCATGGAATCGTTCAATATAGTACAGGTCAACATTTTGTTTTGGGAACAAACTGTTAAGCGCAATCTTTGACGTTTCATCGAATGGAAAAATTACAGCAGTCTCGTATGATTTTGGCCACCATGACCTCTGAGAGGTTAGACAAGATCACTGACCTTAAATAAGCACCAGTGCCCTTTCGCTCAGAGCAGGTACCTAGGTTTACGGTAGCTGCAAGGGATGATCTGGGGGTACTTTGGATACCAATCTGGAGCTTGACCTTGTTTGATCTTACTTGACCTGAAGGCCATAGCCTAGGAAACTCATTTTAAGAGAAGTGAGTTCACGTACAGGCCAATAAACCCCGTTAATTTTGTCCTTTAGCTCTCTTAGTTTCTTGGATCTCACAGAAGGGGGGCCAACTGTCCGTCGGTCTGGAGGGGTCCGTCCGGGGGAGGGGCGCGGGGGTCCGGCCCAGTATTGCAGTTGGTTAGAGCGTCTGTCTTCCGATCCACCCACCCGTGGCGGGGTGGGATCGAGTTGCTTTAAGCCTTCGCTATTTTTCCTTGACAGATATGGCCTGCGACCGGTGGCAGCGCTCGTGCTAAAGGTCAGTTGGTGTGAGAGGGCAAGGTGGACCGTGCCGAGCATTGCGGCACGCCCAACTTTCTCTACTAAATTCTGACGTTGTCTGGAATTGTGCGATCGGATGGTAGGGGTCAAGGCCCACACAACAAGCACTTCTTAGAGTGATTTCTGATCTCAGAAATTCATTCATTCGAAGGGTTGTGATCAAACCTTAAAAATTGGCCCCACCACCCGAGCGAAAAGGTAGCTAACCGTTCACCTGGGCGCGTGGTAAACGCTGCTACAATGAAATACGTGAATGCAAGCGCGTGGTGTTCACTATTTGTGTTCCATTTAACTCATGGCAGTGACGATATGGTCTAGAATCATTGCTGCGCACTACAAAAAATAACAAAACGTCTTATCTGGTGGCGTGATTAGATAGCCCGCCGTCTGACATAGCGGAGGCATGAGGATATCATGTAGCTGCTTATTTGTGTAAGAATTGACATGAATGAACTACAACACAAATGACCTGTCCCAATCTCTCCAACGTGATTATTAGTGAACTCAGTTCCAGCGTGATACACACAAGACTGGAGTGTTGGGCGCAGCTGTAGAGGTCAAAGTAAGCAGGGTCACCGGTCTTGTGCTTTAGCGATACCCTGCTGCGTCTGTCGGGCTGTTCCGGACGCGGGGCTCGCGAGAGCCGCGTGAGTCACCCCGGTGACGTCATCAGGGCGTATCAGGAGCGGCGCCAGCTGTCTGGCCGCGGCGCCCGCCGCACCTGGCACTTATCGACCGCGTGCAGATTGAGCGGCGGACACGTGACTTGTGCACAGCGCCGGCCGCCGCCGTCCGGCCCTGCCTGACGCAGCACGGCCGGCGGCGCCCGGCCTCCCCCCGCGCCCAGGCTGGCCGCCGCCCCTGGCAGCGGCGCGTGTGGGGAACCCTCCACCCTCGCTGCGCTACTATCGCGCAGGCGTAGCGCAGGTGTCGGTGGAACGCGAAGGCGGCGGTGGCGAGGCGTGCACGCTTCAGGACCGTGCGCTCCGTGCTGCTGGGGTCGACGCGGTGGCGCGATCCGGCTAGTGGTGTTGGTGGCGGCACAGCTCGTGCCAGAGCTGTGACCTGTGACGGACGCCGCCAGCTGCAGCCTGTGACGAACGCCGCCAGCTGTGAACTGTGAGGGTCCCACTGACCTCCAGCGGCACGAGCTCGACCTGCCGCACGGCACCGCACAGGTGGTGGCAGGTCCGAGTTCACCACGGCTGGCTGGACAGCGTGAACCGTCTGAGAATAGATATCCCTCGCCGGTGGCAGCTGAGGGGATATCGTGAACCTCAGAAAATCACTCGGTGACGTTCTGTTGGCCATCAGCTATAGCGTCACGTCAGTCCCCGCTTGCAGGGCACACGGTGACCTCCAGTGCCGCCGCTCGACGGAGCCGCCGGCGCCGCGCTGTTACCCTGCAGCGGTTTGGCGTGCTGCCAGCGAGGCCAGGCCGCCAGTGAGCGTCGGACAGCCGTGTGAGCTGACCCTGTAACGGCGACACCATGGCGAGAGACCGCCTGCTGGAGCTGCAGCAGCGGACCGGTTCGGTTGTTGCCCCGACTGCTGCTCCGGGTGCTGCCCCGGGTGGTGCCCCGGCAGCTGCCCCGGCTGTCGCCCCCAACGCCAGCCCGTCGGTGACCGTCAGCCGGCCAGCGCGGCTGGCGCGGCTGCTGGGCCGGCGGCCGGCCCCGCAGCCGGCCCAGCAGCCGGACGGGCCCGACGCCGAGTTCCTGTCGGCGCTGGGCGAGCTGACCGGCCAGCTGGCCGAGGCACGCGCCGAGGTGGATGAAGTCAGCCGGCAGCAGTGCCGCCAGCTGAACTCCCCTCGCCACCATGGAGCAGGCGTGGCAAGCGACGCAGCAGCGCGCCACGGCCGCCCTGGCTCGGCTCAGCCGCCTCCGGCTTCAGCTGGACGGCCTGCAGCAGAAGGTGCGCACCACTGCCCCCCCCCGCCCCTGTCCCCTACCGCTGCAGTGGTGTGAAACAGCAGCCTCACCCTTGTGGAACGGGTCACCCGTTGGGTTGGGTGTAGACTTGGGACAAAAACGATTTGGATTAGAGTACGGGCGGGAGTTTTAGTTATTCAAGAAATATTACGGGATTTTACGGTTTGTGCTTTTTTCGGTCAAATCGTCTTTTCGTACTACGTTTAAAATAATCATCAAAGCAGGGTAAGTTTTGGTGCAAACTTTACTAAAACGCGTCTGTTCTCGCAATCAAGAAGACTTCGGTTCGAATCCCGGTAGTTCCAAGCAAAGAATGTGAGTTATGACGCGTACATAGCTGATAGCCAAGCATCATGCAGGCCCATGGGTGTCGATTTCTCAAAATATTTGGAAGCCAGAGTCTTGAAGGCGCCATGGGGGGACTGACACACAAATTTTCTTGGATTTCGTCTACTTCTGCTCTGATTATCAATCACATGGATACACGTATATGCATATATGCATATATATATATATATATATATATATATACATAGCTGCCGCAACCCGTTGCCAATGACCTTTTCAATCTCAACACACCAAAATGTTAGTGATCAGGTGTATGCACGTTAGCTAATGTCAAACAAAACATTACCCCTCCCTGCGCGTCACTTCAAAACATGGTCCTCAAACGTACCCCAAATGCGATCAGGCGGATGTCCTCCCGTTGAGAATGCCCGCCCCCCAAAGTTTAAAAACACGTTCAATGCGGACCAGATGTATTTGTGGGGAACACTCCTTCCCCTCCCCCTTGTTTCAAAACACATTCAATGCGGACCAGATGTATTTGTGGGGAACACTGCTCCAAGCCGTTGTGCCTATGAAGGGAAAGCAGCCCTCAGCCACTGCGCTTCGAACGTGTGGCAACTGAAACCCCCGTCAGTAACAGCACTGCTAGTTGAGTTAGCTCTTCAGCACCCATGTGATCATACCTGTGTGCGCATGCTCGATGCTGAATGAGCTCACCCACCTAGGCCAAGCCAGCATTTTATAGGGATCCCGGTCGGGTCCTAGACGGGCAGACCGTGTGGGCAGTAACAGAATGCCCAGCACGGCTCCAGATGGTCCTCGCAACATTTGTTTGAAGGGCCGTGGCCGGGCCGTCTGCCCGCGGCGTGGCTGGGTATCCAGCTGGGCACATGCTGGTAAAACATCAGGGTATCAGTGTGGTCTGGCGTTGGACTCCAGCCAGGGTCCTGCCTGGGATATTAGCGGGGCCAGGGCAGGCGCTGGGCCCCAGCTGGGACCTTGCCTCGGGCCCCATCTGGTAGATGCGACCTATACCATCTGAGTACAAGTCCGTGCCATGGATGGGCCAAGCGAGAAACCCTGCGTAGCAGAGCGGAGTGCACGGAGTGCGCAGTGCATTCCACATAAATGGATCGCTGACTGATGATTTTTGTATTGGGAAGCCAAAATCTCAAGTAATTAATCTAAAACTCAAGATTTGGACCCTAGCACCACCTGCCCTAAAGCACAGGTAGTTCAAAGTAAGAAGTTAGTTTTTGGTACTGTGCTCTTCCAGTTTGGACACATATGTTACCCTAAACATGCTTGTTAAACGTCATGCACCCTAAGATCCCCCTTCTGTTATCTGAAAAGCCCTACAGTACAGGAAGAGGTATTCAATGTTTTGTCAACTTTGGAAAGCACTCGTTATGCACCCTAAACCTTATGCACCCTAAAATCCCCCTTCTGTTATCTGAAAAGCCCTACAGTACAGGAAGAGGTATTCAATGTTTTGTCAACTTTGGAAAGCACTCCGCTGTGACCAAGGTGAGATTGTATTGCATGAACTTAGCCAGTAATTTTCACTACATTTTAAAAAGCAAACCGGACATGCTGCTTTGCCACTCCGAAAATAAGACTCGATGATGCCCGTTCCGAAAAACGATCACTGAAGTTTTGGGTCGCGTTTGCGAGCAGTGCCATCGTTCGGTGGGGTCTGCAGGAACCCGGCTGGTCTTCCAATCCGACTTCCAACACCATTTGCTAATACAAAGACCCTCAAAGGCGCAGGAATTCAAGCTAGATGATTTAGGCCACACGAGACATACATAACTCTGCAACACTCCTCATCTCACCCCCACTCCACTCCACGCCCAGAAGTCGTACCAAACTTTGCTTAAGACTTCGTGGTATCTTATCTGAGCCAATATCTCATTTCGTTTTAGAGGCTGCTGTAGCATCTATCTGTTTTTAGGCGTGCTACACTACGATATTCATCTTTTGGAATATTCTATCAAATATTTAACTTAAAAGTTCTACAGGCCAGCAAGGCTCAGCCAATTTTCAAGCATACTTCGGCCCTGAAAGGAGATAACGTAAGGGATTAACGAGGTTTTGCCCCATGGTCTGCCACCGGCCACTGGCTGTGACATATAACTTCGAGAGTCAAATTCAAGACCCCTTGCAACAAGATCAATGCCAGCCGAAATGTGGGATTAAGGATTAGTCGACAGTACGATGGGCAAAAAGTATTCGCACATTAGTGTTCAATATAACCCGAGTTCTGCAGGTAAGCATTACGCTGTAAAATGACATTCTGTATTTGAACTTCCACGATGAACAATGGGTCACAGGATCCAACTTTGTCCGCAGCTAAGCAGGGTATTGGAGGTTTTACAGCTCGGTGAAGGCCAACTCCCTTGACGCAGCAGAAACCCCACTCATCAAATGATTTGCAGCACGATCTAATGTCAATGGAGAGGTGCGATGCCGTCCTGTCAGACAGACGAGGCGCCATCTCCCCCCCCCCCCCCCCGTCCCGTGGCTCTAGGAGTCATTTGGAGATGGCAGTGTCGATCACTTTTACGGTTGTGGTTGCTGGGTCTTCTTAATAGCGACTGAAAAATGGCAAATCAACAGCCTATAGTAGGGGTGTCTGCTCGGTACATGATTGTCCTGAACTGTGCCTGAAATCGAGCACCCTTTAATAATTCTACCGCCTTTAACCAGGAAACCATTGCTTTAAGCCTACTTTCGCCTGGTTCATCCCAATAAACCGATGAGTTCAAAGCAACCCAACTCGACAGAAATGTTTGTTGGAGAGCATAATGAGTACATACTGGTTAGCAGCTCGATCAAACATCGACGGGAGAGGTCAAGTGCATTCGTGACATCATCACAAATGAAGGAAATAGTCCAATCACTTTCTCATACTGTGTCACGGACACACAATACAGTGAACAAAGAAAAACTAAGGCGATAGGTTTAGTTACGCGTGCCAATTACTAGCCACCAATGCATCGACTAAAATGCGTTATAATATCACTTTGAGTCCTTTTGAGGAGCATGCCATTCGACAATTGGCCATAGATGGAACGGATGTTGCCCGCCGCAATGCCGGACAAAGCTATTTCACGGACAGTTTAAATGCTTGGGAGTGGATGTCGTCTTTGGGGCCGGGGAATCCTCGTTAACTGGACCTGATAAAAGTGTGCCTAGCCATATGCAACGGAAAATCACCGCACGGGAAGATAAGTGCACGAAGCAGTCACCCAAAGTGAATGATGGAGCTGAACGGACACACCCGAAATTGAAATAACACGCCTTAGCGCATGAAATACGCCATGAGACGACCAACCCCGCCCGTATTACTCGACTTTCGCCACTGCTGCAGAACATCGCGCTCAGCCGGCTGTAGCGCCACCGCAGGGATGGTCCCCGACCGGTGACACATGACCGACAAGGCCCCGACCGGCGCCTCGTCACCAGACACGGCATTCCAGAGACAGCCTCGGCCGTGTGAAGAGCGGCACATCACTGATAAAGCCCCGACCGGCGCCTCGTCACCAGACACGGCATTCCAGAGACGGCCCCGGCCGTGTGAGGAGCGGCACACCACTGATAAAGCCCCGACCGGCGCCTCGTCACCAGACACGTCATCCCAGAGACAGCCTCGGCCGTGTGAGGAGCGGCACACGACCTGGCTCCGCCCGCAGGCCGTTTATGGATGGCATCCAATAACGCAGCGTTGCAACGGAGCGCTCACTGTCGGTAACATCGAATGCAACTTTTTCATCACTTCCAGAGTAACATTTTCAGTATGCTGTTATAGACCTGACAGCAAACAATGGGTATCTCTCCTGTTCATCTCGGTTTCTGTGTATTTCAGATTTTGTACCCAATTAGACCCCTGCCTCGTAATGCTGGTGTGAAAAGAGCCTATCTTTCTTTGCCATGTTAGATCGGTCATATGGTATGCTAGTTTGCTGGCGCTGGGAAACCTTTCGAAGCATAACACTTGATTCTGGTCAATAAATCGATTGCAACATCCCGCGGCTTCTTAAACTAGTAGACAAAATTGTAAAATTACAGACTGCCTCCATTCAGCAGCCGAGAGCGCGGCCCCATGACTTGAAGTCTGACTGGACCGACGTCGCCAGTCGTACGTCTCAAGGATCGGTGCTGGCACCAATCCTGTTCATTAACTTCGTCAATGATTTACCAGAATGGCGAGGACCCGGTCAAGATGTTCACGGATGACACTAAGGTGAACTGTCGCGTTCCAAGGCCCCTGGCCGCGTTCCCTCTCCATGTTGTTCTCGATGGCCGGGTCGTCGAACGGTCTACACCAGCAATACTATTGTCATCCGCAGTTTAACGGCTAAAAACCAGTCTCGAATCACACTGGGCTGGCATCTTGTACGGCAGTCCGCACTGACCACATCGTTTAAATGAGGCTGCCCGGTTTACTGAGCGCGATCGCGAAAAGACTGGGATCCACAGGCCGAGTGGCCCTTTAATTCCCGATCATCACCTTTGGGTAATGTTGGTAATTTGATACTTCACAGCGGAGAACTTGTCGGGGGAACTGATAAGGTAAACGCAATGTTTCTGGATCCACGGTTCAAACGTGATTGCTGGTCTTACCTGGCTGTTTATCGGCTCAGAGGGTAAAATTAAAGTGATACAGATGAAGGTCGAAAAATTTTAAGGCTTCCTCTAGGCGTATGCAGCTTATAACATGGTCACGCTGTTAGATCCTAACGCCCAAACGGTTTGTTTTCAATCTCCGATAAGATGTCGTGCCATTATGATGTGACCTGGTGCTGTCTGTAGAAACTGAGACATCGCTGAACAATGCCAAAACGTTCATAAAATAGCAAAAATCAAGGCCAGAGTCGACCGGTCATAATAATCGTGTAGATAAAATCATAAAACATATAGGGAAAGCAAGGGGAAAATAGAGCAAACAGGATCTAAACGTGGAGCCTTAAAAATGTGATAATCTCAGTCAGTTGCACTTAACTGAATATGACACCGCAAATTGCTTTTTCTTTGTTTCCTTTGCCTGTGAAACAATAAGTAGAGCTGTTTGTTAAAGTCGTGGTAACTTTTAACTACCTTTTCCAATGTCCTTCTTGTACCTAGGCTCCAGAAGGTTGGAGGGCAAACTCATCGTTGGGGGGCAAGATTGGACATGGGGGGGGGGGAGGGCAGGGGGCAGTGACTCACTCAAAAGAATACAAATTGATACCTGTGCACTAGCCTTTTCAGGACTATGTAACACCTGATAACGGCCGGCGACATGACTGGACAAAATGTTGTGGACATACTGTTACACCAGACAAGGACGACAGTCGGACAATTAGTTCATTCGTGAAACGTTTCTGTTACTCGGGCTCAAAGAGCTGGAAAATGTAAACGGATGGGTGACGGGTGGATACAACTGAATGGGAAGGGGTGGCAGGGTAGATATGGACACAGCCACATAGGCATCAGTTGGGTTGGGCCAAATAAGTCTTCCCTGTGAAGGTCGTAGGCATGCGCACCACGCAGTCAAGAGCATTTCGTGGGGGAAAATTTTGGAGAGACACAGCAACTATAGCAATTTTGGCGTTATTGTTGTAGAAAGATGGCCAGTTAGGAGGCAGAAGGGATTTTCCCCCCCATGGAAAAAAAAATGAGGGCCGCTCTCGATCGTCCGTCCAGCCTCGTTTAGGGATACTTGTGAAATAATTTGATTCCATAAATGATGAAGGCCTAATTGATATGATTGTCTGAAGCGCCGAGGGCCTCAGGATCCGCCAAAAGGCCCCTGCTAGCCTGAAATGGCCCCTGCGTAAAACAGAGTTGGCTAACCGCGGAAGGTGCTGAAGGCGAATCTGTTTCCGTAAGCGGAACGTGATGCACGGGATGCCCCCCCCCCCCAGACCACGAAGCCCCACAGACGAACTGTTCTTGGTGCGAGGAACCGATCTTTCGTATCAAGGTTTTAGTCGTCGAAACAACATGATAAGTGCAATGGCATGCTAGAACATCGTTATCTATGATTGATTCAGAGCCGTGCTGAGAATAAGATAGACCGTACCTGGGTCTGGTGCGTCAGCGCCGTCGGCAGATCGGTGACTGGAGCGTGCATATTGTCCTGTTCGTGGATGATTCCTGGTGCAACGTATCCGTTTTTCATTTAATTTAAGTTTTCATTTCGTTTGACGTATTTGTTCTGCTCTCCAGCTGAATGACAAGACTTCAGATCTAACGTCAACGCAGGCGCACATGGTCCAGATTCAGATCAACAGCGCCAGGAGGCAGCTGCTGTCTGTGGTGCAGCACTTCAACGACGAGGAACTGAACTTCAGGGCCAGGTTGGCAGAATGAAGCCATGCCATTATGACCTTTTCATGTAAATGCCATCAGTACGACTTTGGTGCAGAGCCGACCGCGCATCCTCCCACCTCCCCTCCCACGCTGCTCTTCAATTACGAGTTGTCGATGCCAGCTTGAATTTATTTTCTGTGCCCATCTTATTAATTAATTATCTTTGTTTACCTTGGGCAGCGGATCGATATGTTGCAGGGTGATCTAGATCTGCTTCACCTAATCTAATCTTGTTGTGTTTGTGTTCTGCACGTGCACGTCATATTTATATCATATCGTTCTGTATTAGCTACAAGGATGTTCATCTACTCATCCATTACGTCGCATCGGCGCTACGAATGGGTTTGTTCTGCAACGTTTTGTAGTGTTCTGACTGCAAATATTCCGTGATTTTGTCATAAATGTTCGTCTGACAACTCAGTGGATTACAGGACCTTGCCTCGGGTTTACCTATCCGTGGCAGTGTGGGTTCGAGTCGACTTAGGGCTATCTATTTGCTGCCGGCCGGGACGGCTTGCGACCGTTGGCGTCGGCCGCTCTAAAATTGGGCCAGGGCTTGCGCAACACGCGCTGCCTAGCGTGGGCGCTGATCTCAGATATCCATCTTTCAATCGAGAGATTCCGACTGAATTTCAAACAAACGAAAAATATCAAACGGTCGGAACAAGCAGCTGGTGAAGGGCACCAAGCCCTTCCTGACAGACAGAGAGCTTTACCCATGGCTCTGTGGATGTGCCATTGTTATAGCCGCCTGTGTCGTGGGCGTTGCCATGTTGAACAGCGCAGCGTGAGTTGGCGGGGGGGGGGGATGGGGAGGGGGGGGGGGCAGGCCTGCTCAGTTGAACGGCACGAGTCCAGCCACTGACGGCGTCATTGACCCGTGTCGCGTCGTGAGCGGGCCCCGGTGCCGAGGAGAGGGCCGGACTGCGCCCGCCGGCACCTCAGACGAGTCCAGCTGCCGACGAGGCGCGGCCGGGCCAGGCTGCCCTTGGAGTCCCGCGCCGCTCCTGACCCGACCGCCCTCTCCCGGCAGGAAGAAGGAGCACCTGAAGCGGCAGCTGCTCATCACTGGCGCCGCTATCGATGATGAGGAGCTGGAGACGCTCTTGGACAATGGCGACGTGCAACTCTTCAACGAAAGTAGGCGGCGCGCGAGCTGAGCTGGCGTCTCGCGCCGCGCACGCACGCCGACGTACCGCGCGCCGAGCGGAGCGAGCGGGATCACGCCGCGATTTAGTCATTTAGTCCCGGTGTCCATACTGTGGAGAGCAGGCGGATTTCTTGCGTGTCCGGTTAAAGGCAAGGTAATATGCCACGTACCCACGTATGCCACGTAGTCACATTGACCCCTCGTCATCCCCGCACCCACGCGAGCTCTGGCGGGTAACAACTGTCTGCTGCTTTGACCTTGGATGGGTCACGCACATCCCAGTCTGCAAAATGAAAACATCAGTGTTTTGATCCGTTGGAAATCGCCATATGCATGAAACGCCGTATGATCGACACCGGCCTGCGTCTGATTGTCCTTTAATGGACACCGGCCTGTGTCCGGCTGCCCGTTAGATGGACGCCGGCCCGTGTCTGGCTGCCCGTTAAATGGACGTCGGCCCGTGTCTGGTTGCCCGTTAGATGGACGTCGGCCCGTGTCTGGCTGCCCGTTAGATGGACATCGACCCCTGTCCGGCTGCCCGTTAGATGGACGTCGGCCCTTGTCCGGCTGTCGGCGGATGGACGCCGGCCTTTGTTCGGTTAGCCAGTAGATGGACGCAGGCCTGTGTCGGGTTAGCTAGTAGATATACAGCGGCTTGCGTCCTGTTGTCCAGAAGACTGACGGTGGTCAGTGTCTGGTTACAGGCATCATGATGCGCGTGGAGACGGCTCGAGCCGAGCTGAATGAGGCAGAGGACCGCTATCAGCAGATCCGCGCTCTGGAGACCTCCATCGAGCAGCTGCACGAGATGTTCATACAGCTGTCGCTGCTCGTGCAGCAGCAGGGCGAAGCCATCGACCGCATAGAGGACAATGTGAGTGTTACGTGTTTCAACAGGCCGCGGACACCGCTCGACAGGTGCTGCCACCTATTGATAAAAGGCTATCTTGGTGCCTCGCGCTGGATAGTAAAAGCAAACAGCTGACTGGATCGATGACCAAGCGGCAGCATCCCCCTACCGTGACTCATGAAGCACGACTCGGCGTGATTGTCCGTCCCCCTTTCAGACAATGAAGACAGTGGCCAACGCGGAACGAGGTCAGAAGGAGCTGGGCAGCGCACTTCAGAAGAAGAAGAACAGTCGCAAGATGATGATTGGCTGCGGCATTGTGCTAGCCGTGGTCGGCGTCATCCTGCTGATAATCCTCATCAGCTACCTGGGCTAGCGCATTGTCAGCACGCCGACATGCTGTTAGCTGGCAGTCGACGTGAGATGCCGTGCTCTGGACAACGCAGTGACAATTATTGTGATGACACGCGGCAGGACTCGGCATGCGTTTGCATGCATGTACACACATGTCTTGAAATGGCACAGGCTGGCATGCACTGCTCATGCATATTTGTGGAGAGCTAACAGCACCTTTGCGAGGCTTTGGTTAGCTATTTGATACCAGATTCTATTACCATAAAATCTGCTGCAGGCCTCGACATCTAATTGACATTTGACTTCACAACAAGCAGACTGACTGTGAGACAATAGACGTTTGTTTGTGAAAACGAGCGGTCATTGGCTAGTGAGCTGGGTTCTATGTGGTTATGATTGTGGTCTATGTTTGTGATCTATGTGATGTGATGATATGTGTGTGATGTGATCTATGTGATGTGATGATATGTGTGTGATGTGATCTATGTGATGACATGTGATGTGGTTTATGTGAGGATATGTGTGTGATGTGATCTATGATATGGTTGTGGACGGCATCGACCCATGCGAGTGTCTTGTAATGTTCTCGGCATGGTGCTGCCAATGTGGAGCCCTTTAGGGTGCACGTTAATTTAAATAAGCTCATTTTGTCCTGAAATCGTGGGAATAAAGTCGCGACGGGCTTTGTCTGACCTTACCTTGTTGTTTCATGCCGTGTACTTAGTGTTATTATGGCGCCTCTCTCCTCTGGCATGGGAGGATTTGACATGACTTGTGATTTGGCCAACGCAGCTGTGAAGGAGGGTGGAGTCTGTTGACAAGGTACAGATGGGATCGGGACTGACATGTCACGGCCCGCACTGGCGGGCGGCGGCCCGTGGTCAGCGCTGGGGGAGGGGCGGATCCTCCAGACCGGGTACAGATGGGATCGGGACTGACATGCCACGGCCCGCACTGGCGGGCGGCGGCCCGTGGTCAGCGCTGGGGGAGGGGCGGATCGGATCCCCCAGACCGGGTACAGATGGGATCGGGACTGACATGTCACGGCCCGCACTGGCGGGCGGTGGCCCGTGGTCAGCGCTGGGGGAGGGGCGGATCCTCCAGACCGGGTACAGATGGGATCGGGACTGACATGTCACGGCCCGCACTGGCGGGCGGTGGCCCGTGGTCAGCGCTGGGGGAGGGGCGGATCCTCCAGACCGGGTACAGATGGGATCGGGACTGACATGCCACGGCCCGCACTGGCGGGCGGTGGCCCGTGGTCAGCGCTGGGGGAGGGGCGGATCCCCCAGACCGGGTACAGATGGGATCGGGACTGACATGTCACGGCCCGCACTGGCGGGCGGTGGCCCGTGGTCAGCGCTGGGGGAGGGGCGGATCCTCCAGACCGGGTACAGATGGGATCGGGACTGACATGTCACGGCCCGCACTGGCGGGCGGTGGCCCGTGGTCAGCGCTGGGGGAGGGGCGGATCCCCCAGACCGGGTACAGATGGGATCGGGACTGACATGTCACAGCCCGCACTGGCGGGCGGCGGCCCGTGGTCAGCGCTGGGGGAGGGGCGGATCCCCCAGACCGGGTACAGATGGGATCGGGACTGACATGTCACGGCCCGCACTGGCGGGCGGTGGCACGTGGTCAGCGCTGGGGGAGGGGCGGATCCTCCAGACCGGGTACAGATGGGATCGGGACTGACATGTCACGGCCCGCACTGGCGGGCGGCGGCCCGTGGTCAGCGCTGGGGGAGGGGCGGATCCTCCAGACCGGGTACAGATGGGATCGGGACTGACATGTCACGGCCCGCACTGGCGGGCGACGGCACGTGGTCAGCGCTGGGGGAGGGGCGGATCCCCCAGACCGGGTACAGATGGGATCGGGACTGACATGTCACGGCCCGCACTGGCGGGCGGCGGCCCGTGGTCAGCGCTGGGGGAGGGGCGGATCCCCCAGACCGGGTACAGATGGGATCGGGACTGACATGTCACGGCCCGCACTGGCGGGCGGTGGCCCGTGGTCAGCGCTGGGGGAGGGGCGGATCCTCCAGACCGGGTACAGATGGGATCGGGACTGACATGTCACGGCCCGCACTGGCGGGCGGCGGCCCGTGGTCAGCGCTGGGGGAGGGGCGGATCCTCCAGACCGGGTACAGATGGGATCGGGACTGACATGTCACGGCCCGCACTGGCGGGCGGCGGCCCGTGGTCAGCGCTGGGGGAGGGGCGGATCCTCCAGACCGGGTACAGATGGGATCGGGACTGACATGTCACGGCCCGCACTGGCGGGCGGCGGCCCGTGGTCAGCGCTGGGGGAGGGGCGGATCCTCCAGACCGGGTACAGATGGGATCGGGACTGACATGTCACGGCCCGCACTGGCGGGCGGTGGCACGTGGTCAGCGCTGGGGGAGGGGCGGATCCTCCAGACCGGGTACAGATGGGATCGGGACTGACATGTCACGGCCCGCACTGGCGGGCGGTGGCCCGTGGTCAGCGCTGGGGGAGGGGCGGATCCCCCAGACCGGGTACAGATGGGATCGGGACTGACATGTCACGGCCCGCACTGGCGGGCGGCGGCCCGTGGTCAGCGCTGGGGGAGGGGCGGATCCTCCAGACCGGGTACAGATGGGATCGGGACTGACATGCCACGGCCCGCACTGGCGGGCGACGGCACGTGGTCAGCGCTGGGGGAGGGGCGGATCCTCCAGACCGGGTACAGATCGCGCTGACAGCATGCCGCACAAAAAGCTCGCTCATTCCATGACCTCTAATCAAGACCTTTGAGTGTCTTGTACTTTTGCAATTTTGTGATTCATCAGCGCTTTGGGTACAATAGGTCATGCAGAGTTGATAAATTTCTGGTTGGCGACCAGACACCACCCGATCCTTATTTCGTTAATGTCTGTAACGAAAGCCCGGCAGGGTATTTCCCGCCCAGGTTCGCCAACGCTCGCCGTTTTAAGGCGTTCCACGCTCTGCCGATGGTGGTTGCATCAAACCCATCTTGAATAATATGCTTTAATATACGCTATCCACTGCACGAGTCCACGCTTTTGGCAGAAATTTAACATGCATACATTATGCACGCCAATACGCAAGCTCTCGTGCTTCCTGACACTGGAAAACAAATAATGGCGCTCTCGACGACTACAGGCAGATTGAGATAAACGCTGGGCAGGTGCACGGTGCTTCTAGACAGGGATGGTGCTGGTTGTAGGGCCTGGGATCAAATGGGATACATCGCTGTTCTTCTGTGGGCAAGACGGCGATTTATGTACTGTTCTCGGGACGAGCTTCTCTGTATGCGCGCCGCCAGAGCCACACATGGAATATCAGCCCATCCCCACCTCCCCCCCCTCTTCGTCACGATGCGGCGCAGCTTTTTTCTGGCCACCACGCCTTTGAATATTATTCGGACTATCGTCCACATCTGGTGTACTGGTAATCACACAAGGTTTCCATCAATTAGCTTTCCTATCGCCGTCAGGTGCTATGAAGTCTTGATCAGGGATGGATGATGTTTGGCTTTAAGCCATGTGCGCGTCGCAGCCCGAATTCTTTCCTTACCATTGCTGTGATTCAAAACAGTGTCTTCTAAAGCAGTCCAGCGATCGATTCAGTAGGTAGAACACTGGACTATCGATCAATTGACCCTGGTTCGCATTCCGGCAATTCTAAGGAGAGAATTTGTGCTGTGACGCGTACATTGCTGAAAACCAAACGTCATTCTCAGGACTCGAAAGCACTTGACGATGGCCGGAGAATAAACTGGCCGAAATGTCGCGCACATACGAACACACCAGGACCAGACGTGGACAACAGCCTGAACAATCGCTCACTCCGCGGAACTGCTACCTGGTATTGATCCTTCCGTGAACTGACTGTGTTTGGTGCTGGGGTCCAAGATTCCCCCATCGCAAATCCTGGTAGCCCCTCCTGTCTCAATTTCTGATTGCGCCCCTAGCGTGAATGGATAGCATCATGCGTCCGAATTCTGCGTTATAATCCTTCTTTGCACTTTGTATCCAAATATGGTCACAATGGCACGTGGTCGGCTTGTAAATAGCGAGATGGGTGATTGATGCTCATGACGAGTGTGTGAAGTACAACGCATTGCACACGAAGTTGCATGCATGTTAAGTTCCTGCAAAAGTGTGGGCTCGTGCGTGAATGTAGTGAATTAACCGCGCTGTTCAAGGTGGGTTTGATGTAACCCTCATTGGCATGCACATGACACACTTTAAACGGCGAGCGTTGACGCACTGGAGCTTGGAACTACCCTCCCAGGCTTTCATCGCGGAGAGTTGATAGATAAGGTTAGGATAGTGTCAAGTCGCCAACCAGATATCCATCAACGTTTGCATGACCTATTTTACACCCAATGTTGATAAATCGCAAAATTGCGAAGGCACATAACCCTCAAGGGTACTTAATTATAAATCAGGGAATGAGAGAACTTTTCATTGCTTGAAGCAGGGTACGCTGAGCCTTAGGATCATGACGCGAAATGAAAACGCCGTCAATAGATCCCCGCTGGCGAGGAGAGACGTCAAAGGGCTGAGCGGAGGCCGGTGGAACACCGCGTCCAGGACTTCCCCAGAGTGCGAAATAAACTCGTCCGAGCGATGATGACGCCAGTGGTTGACCCGCACAACCAATAAACGAGGTGTCAGGGGTTGTCAGGCTGCTTTGTACTGAAAAAAATGGCATCCTCCACGCATTACGCCTTGGCACCAGTGACGTCATCATTACGTTAAGCTAAGATGAAGCGATAATCACCGGACGGTTTCACCTCTAACACAACTTTGGCCGGGCCATGGGTTGGTGCGGCTGGGTGGGTGCTAGGCGTGGGATGAAGCGCCGTTTCGTCAATCTGTGTGACATAGAGCTAAGTGAAGATGTTAAGGCGATTCATAAGTGTATGATGAATCTACTGATATCAATGTTGTGAAGATTCCTTACTTAATTAATTCATATGCACTGTTGTACCGAGTGCGAAGCCTGCGCTGGTAATACCGAGCCACCCTCAATAATATCATCTATGACTCCTACGATATTTTTCAGGAGATTGCATGAGGTTACATGAAAACATTGAGTGATTGCCTATAAATCTAAGTGATGCCTGGGACAATGCAGAAGCTTCTCAAGTAAGTGAAATACAAGTATGTGTATTTGAAAAACATGAATGAAGGGATTATGCCAGACCAACAGGATAGTGCTTCAACTTGGGAATTGTGGTGTAAAAAATCTGAAATAATTGAGGCCATATCAGTATGGGGTTTGCTTGAATGATGAAAGCAGAAGTTGTACAAGCTCTGTTCTGAATTACTAAGGACAAACAAATGCCTCCTTTTTATGGTTCTTGCCTTACTCTTAATATATATTTGCAAAGTTTGTGGTGCATTAGGTGACATGAACAGGCAATAACAATAGATGTACACCCTAAGTCATGGCTCTGGTTTTCTCAAAGTAGTTGGTGAACAGCTATCAAGTCCCAACAGCAGAGACTGCTCTTGTCATCAGGCTGTCAGTGAAGTTGGGTGCCTGCGGCGGCACTGTGTACTACACTGCCCGGGAGGGTGTGTGGGCAGACAGCAGTACGGCACAGCATACTTACCTGAGGTTGACACAGCACCTGCCAGATGTCCGCCAGTACATACCCAGCGACCTGAATGTGAGTTTCCTTCATGCTGCGGGGCAGCCAGGCGAGCCCAGTACTGAGGGAGAGCATATGCCTCTCAGTGCCTATTGAGTGTAAATGTATATGTGTTCCATGTGTCAGCACAATTGAAACCACCACAAATAATGTCCTGGACTGTGAGGCAGCAAATCAGGCCCTGCAAATTAGAAAAGTGAAGAACTTGTGCTGTGTACAGGTGTGGTATCTTCAGACACAGAGTTGGTATTAATGAGCAGTCATGGTGGAGTTGCCATTTTGTAGCCACATGAGAACAGATATCAGTTTTGATGGGATCAGAGCCCCCACCAGGTGTAGCTTGTTGTTTTAGAGGCTGCTCATGCCAAGCCAAGATGTCAAAAGGACCAAATTGCCAGACAGATGTGCATCATTCTATGAGACAACTAACCACTTGTGTAGGTGCTGGTGCTTGCAGAAGCTAATTGTGCCATATGACTTTGCCATCCATGATAAATGTGTCCTTGCTGGCAAGACGTGGTCTCTGAACTGAACAGCCATGCACAGTGCATGGCACAGCATAGAAATGGCATAGCTGAGTGTCATGAAGAGAGATGCAAGCAGTTTTGCCGATGTGAACTGGAAACACATGATTGCTCCATGTCATGGAAAATATAACATCCCACATCGAAGTCAACATTTATTGTGGCTTCCTCCACAGCTGCCCGAAACGGCGGAGATGCGGCGCAGTGCTTCCCTCTACTGGAACTGGGCGGTAATTGGGCTTTCCAGCCTGGCCGCCAGGTCTCCGTACATCCTGGCGGGATTGGCTGTTTCCACAAAGGACATGCTGTCGGACATGCTAGTTGTCACACCTGAGCAAGTGAAGGAAAAGGGCGGCTCGTAGTCCCCTTGCGTGCCCGCGCTCTAGTTGCAAGTGTTAGTTGACGCGCTGAGTCGAGAGCAGGAGCGGGCGCGCGGGGCGCAGCGTCACCAGCCGCCGACACGCGCTCGCTGCCGGGGCGCGCGTGCTGAGGGTGACGTCGACACTGGGTGATGTGCGGCGCGGCCCGGTCCGCGGACGGGTCGGTCTGATTGTGATCAAGTGTCCACCGGCTGTAATAAATGCACGGCGGCGATTCTCGATCCACGCTGCACTCCGGGGTGTACCGGCCTCTGGCCTCGGGGCTTGTGTTGGGGAGCAGCTGCGGTTTTTTTGCGGGACACTGCGCGGCGATGTACGGCCTGCGCGGGCGGCGGGCGGCAACCGACGACTTCGCAGACAGCCCACGGCGGGCAGGCCGACTTTGTGAGAGCAGACAGGAGGGCTGCTTCTCCCAACTTGTAGTGTAAGGAGCGGTAGCGCCCCCCCCCCCCCCCCGCATTAACTTTGATGTGGCTAGTCCTAGGATTTTCAGATACAAAATGGAGATGAAAATTTATCAAAGAAAGTGAAAAAATGGAAGTTTTTTGAGAATGTTCGTGCAATTTTGAACCACTTCCCACGTTTCTGTTTCCGTTGACTTCCCTCATTCAAGTGTCGCTTTTTTGGTGAGATAGTGCAACTGTTTGGTGCACGCAGATTCCTTCACATTTCCGGGATGTAGAAACTGGCTGCTTTGCGGCCCCTCTTCTGTGTGTGGGATTGGGGCTTTACGACGCACTCAGCTGCTGAGGCTATATGGCGTCGCCTACCTCTCACTCTGGCGGGAAGGGCGGGCACCGCGGGGAATCGAACCCCGTACCTCTGGTTTCCCAGACGCGCGGTGGTTGCGGCCCCTTCTTCAAAGCTACACCTTGTCGCCGATGAATAATACACACCCCGCCTTGTTCAGATTTAAACCTACCATTCTCCATCGTCAGGATCAGCACGCGCACCGCATCGGAGGACGAGCATAGTTGTAGATGTCTGCCACTGCCTATGAACCAGGGGCGGATGCCCGTAATGGGTCTCGGCTGTCCAGCTTTTGCGCTTGTAGTGAGGAGAAAATATCTATCCTTTACACAAAGTTTTGTGTTCCGAGAATCGAGGAAGTCCGTTTGAGCTGCTATCGCCTTACACGCTACAGCGAAAACTCCGTTAATCATTTACAGAAGTAGGACTTAAAGGAAATTGCCGATTCTAGTTCTTGTCCTTTATGTAAGCAGAGGGTCAGGTTACATCTGCGTGCCAATTTCGCTGCCTGGCGAATATTGATATGAATATGATTCAAAATATGTTGCCAAACTGACGAACGCACTCGTCATGGCGATATCACGTGGAAATGTGTGCTCTCCTCCCCCCCCCCCCCCCACCAATAAAAAGGTTTGGATGTTATGTTATTTGTGTTATTACGCAATCCCGCGATCGGTAATACATTTGATGATGCTAGGTACATAGCTGTTTCCTTGCGTCGGGTCTAAGGTCAAGTGCCAGTGGCATAGACTACAAACTCATGCAGTTGGTACGGGTCATAAAAAAATGCGTAGTGATTGTTCTTTTGATCTAGGTGCAGTTGGTTATTTGGTTATTTCAGTTACAGCCCTTTCGACCCGAAATGGTCGTCTCAGGACCGCGGGATGAAGGGGAATGGATAACGGTGGGACAGGACTATATGCGCGTAGAGAGGGGAGGGGGGGGGGGCAACCGGCAAGCCTTGGCTCACACAGGGACCCCCCCCCCTTCGGGGTGTGCGCTGGGTGCCCGGTCGGGGTCCCCTTCACGAGGGCCCCTGGGCGCACTCGCGGCTGACGCATGCAGCCTGCCCCGGACGAGCGGGGCGTCGCGATGATTCACGACAAAGCAAGAAAGAGGATACGAGGGTCGGATTCGCTGCCGTTGATAGCTTGTGCATTACATGGCGGGAGCACTTTGAGTGGGGTTTGAGTGACTGTTCCGACAGGGATTTCACATCGTACATTCACGTTATATCCTTCCACACTGGCGAAAGTTTGATGGACACTGAGGACTGTTCCGCCGTTTAAGTTAGCAGTTCGTCGAGAAAAGCAACGCGAACGCGTTTCGTGATCCTGAGCGGTATTGTTAGGGTTCGGAGCGCCTGGTGCGTCAGCACGTTAGGCGGAACATTCTGCTTGTGAAGTAAATGGTGCTTTTGGTGTCTGCGTTTGACGGGATTTCAATGCTAGCAAGACGGTTTGTATAGAAGGAGAGGCATCTGACGGAACGAGGGCTGTGTGGACACTGCTCTCTTTTAAAGGTGTTCCACATTTTCTCGGGGTTTTTAACTGAACTAGCTAACTTGCAGATCATTTGGTGAATTTCACAACCTTGCTCCAGTCTATACCTAAAATTCCCTTGTTTCTGAGCTTTCCAAACGCACTCTTTTCCGCCTAACGCCTTCGTAAACGTTCTCCGAACAAAGTGGACGTCAACTCGCTCTCAAACGTTGTGGAGCAGACCGTGCAAACTTGGATCACGATTCACACTGGGATCACGATTCACACTTGGATCACGATTCACATTTTATGCCACATAATATAAGAAGCTCGACATGGGTTCTTCACTTGCTGGATGCGGAAAGGAGATTTGGAATCCCACAACTTAGAAATAACGCCACAGCTGAGCAAGTGAAAGCGTTAAAGCTATGGATGAATATGCAAGAACACCACGAGGAAGGGCCAAAACTCGAGCACCTAACGATATTTGGTTAACTCCACATCTAGCGCCACCCCGGCCGCCTATTGGAAGATTGAGTACTACAAGTGAGTGCTGTCACACGAACGTTCCATGACGCTTTCAAACAATGACGCATTAAGAACCGTATCAAATAGAGAAATATTGTTGTCTAAAGCACCTTTTCCACTCCCCATACTTGCTTCAATATCTTCAAATGTGGAACATGGCCTTTAGGTATGAGTCACCGTTTGCGTTTACAATGGTCATAGTAAGAACCCAGTGAAATTATTTGTTTTCGTGAAAATAAGGTCAACTTTAGCTTTTTCTTGCGCTGTAATGCCCATATCTTTGACAATAGAGGTGCGACGGCCAACTGCCACACGCTCGTGTTTTACGGTCCAGCAATGAGATGTGGAAGCTCCTGCGCGCCCGCCCGGCCGTCGCTAGTCCACCAAATGGGACACTATGGCTCTGTTTTGGTGCGTACATGTACACACAACGCCTTGTTCGGTCAACTCTCCAGCCGTCTTCAAGTGTTACTGATCCCTTAAAGTGACTGGATGATATTCAGCTTTTAATCCTTACCCACCACAACCCAATCGTTTGCTTATGAATTGCTGGGATGCGAACTGGGGTATTCTGGATACGAATCCAGCGTGCTATGGCTGAGCTGAGCAGGACGTTTAAGAACCTTTTGGACACATCATTACACCATAAGAGGACAATTGTAGCAATTGTCTCGTCGGTAACCTTAATAATTGTTCTCATTTGATCCGTGAAAACACGCATCTGCTGCGCCGTGTATTTTGCTCATATGGAAGGAACACGAAGTTTACCCAAATTCGACGTATGCTAGGAGTGTGACCCAGACATGTATAATTCATCGATATGGGTGCCACAGCCACGAAGGAAGCTTGTGTTGTGCAAAAAGTTGCGCGCTGCGCTTCCGTCGCGGGAAATTAATTGAGGCATTTGGATGTAATACTTCATATGAACAACGCGGCTGCCGCTATCTGCGTCAAAGCCATCACGAAAAATCGTACTTTTGATGAAAATATCGGAGTTGCGCACCTGCATTTGGTTCAGACTCGCACTAATCCAATCAATATTGGGCGATGCACGCAGCTTCGTGGTAGTCGGGAACTTTTTGCTACTGCTGTCCTGAAAGGGTCGGATTGTTCCCTCAAAGTGTGGCTCTTTCGTTATTAACGGACCTAGTGTAAAAATAAGGAAATCATATTTCCTATAGTACTTGACGAGTATTGCGCGCGTCACATCATAATTTCTCCGGGACCGTTCGTTAGTGCGGAGCTCAAGCGTTCATCACGATGTGCTCACAATCGAGGTAAAAACATCTGTGTTGAAAAATATGCAACAATCAAGTGTTTTCAAAAGGTCCGTTTGGAGTTTGCACATTGCTCCATTCTTAAAAGGGGAGGTGCCTTAACAAACGATGATTTTTTCTTTCCATACACGAATTCAGAATTCATGGAATGGTGGACAATCTGAACGCTGCATCCCAGGCCACGCCACACGTTCCGGAAGACCAAAAACAATCCAGCCAAAAATTGCCGCCGTCCTGGCATCAGTAGCACGGAGCCGGGCAAAATCCCTTCACCGTCGCTGCCAAGAGAGGCGTGTTTTGGGGGCTTGGACTCTCAGATCCGCCCCGCTATGTTTTTGGTGACGCCTTTCAACGTTCTCGGAACCGTAGTCGTACCTCCTGGGTACGACTAGCCTGTAGCCTGGTGGCTACATTCTCCGCGAAAATTTCAGCGTCGCTATCAATAGCGGTCCCCTGAACGCTGGATACCATCTTCCTGGATCACTTGTGTTCACAGGAGGCGAGACCCATCGCTGCCCCACCGCGGGAAGCGGTCCAGAACACTTCCGACTTGTGCTCCAGTGCCAAGCCGAGCCCACTGGCACGCTACGTCCGAGCCGTGCTCCAGTGCCGAGCCTGCTACACTGGCGCGCTACGTCCGAGCCGTGCCCCAGTGCCAAGCCGACCCCACTGGCACGCTGCGTCTGAGCCGTGTGTACATGTCCACCGTATTCCCTATCAACATAGACACCCCAGGGCATTCCTGCGACCACATAAGGCGACAGCGCCAGGCACCAACTCACAAGTCGCTGGACACTTTTAAGGTAGCACAGCCAGGAGCGCATACATGGCGCGTCTGGAAATACCGTACTGGCCATGCTGGGCGGGGGCATGGGTAGTGTCAAAGCGCGGTGCCTGGCGCTGCCTCTGCTCGGCTGACCTCGATCGGCCGCCACCGCCGTGGGCTATAACAGGCGAGGCCGTGCCTGCTGCGGGACCAAATAGGCAGGGTGAAGTGGCACGCCTGCGTGTTTACTTCAATGGCGACAGAGTCGATGAAATGCGCGCTATGAAGTCTGCGGGTAAAGTGCAGGATTTGTGGTGATTTGGTGTTTTAGGGCGCGTCGGCAACGGGACCATTTTGCGTCCAAAAGTGCAGGAGTTTGACTCAGGGGTGCAGCCGTTCGGTGCGTACAGCAGGCGCCG